ATAATCCAGAACCGCATATCTTTAAAATCCTAAGAAAAATTTGAGGCACATGTTGGTTTTTCTGGAAGGTATGTTTATTGTTTCATAACATTCTCAAGGGAAAGCATGACTCAAGGAAAGTTAACAGCCTCTAATCTAAAGAACTATACTGTGTATATCCTTTGGGCAGTCATCCATAAGCAGTTTCTCTTCTTGCACGTCTAAGAAATGCTGATCCTTGAAACAGACCAGCCCCAGAAAAGCATCTGAAGAACGCCTTTCACATAAAATGTGAAACTTCAAGCTTAAGCCATTATCTAAGGTGTGTGTCAACTGTATGAAACAATAATATATGACCAATTATCAGTAATGTCCATAAGCATATGGAAAGCATAAAAATGCATTCTTCTAAATAGGTTCGAGCTACAAATATTTACAAAGTTGCCTCAAAGTACTGGTGATATTTCTTTTAGCTAATAAAACAATTAAGCAAAACCTACCTTTTTCTTGTGAATAACAATTATAGATAAGTATGAACCATTTTCCTAGATAAATATTTTTAAGTTTAAAAATAACCTTTTCCTTGGGGCTGGAGCAATAGCACAGTGGGTAGGGCGTTTGCCTTGCATGCAGCTGACCCAGGTTCGATTCCCAGCATTTCATATGGTACCCTGAGCACCACCAGGAGTAATTCCTGAGTGCAGAGCCAGGAGTAACAATTGTGCATCACTGTGTGTGACCCAAAAGGCAAACAAAATAATAATAATAATAACCTTTCCATTATTATAATGATAATAATAATATAACCTTCCACTATTACAATAATAATAACCTTTCCACCATTAATAGAGTTTTTCTCTGAGCTTCATATTTTTAATGTTTTAAAACCTAGACAGCAAACAATCACTGCGACGGCTCTAAATGTACACACAAAGTCATATTATCCCATACTATCTTGGTTAAAATATTTCAAGATCCCAGGGTATCACCTAGACAAGGCTCTTTAAACTCTTCTATCTGGAAGTCACAGCCATTCAGAATAAGCATAATAAATCCAGAGACTTTGTCACAAATACACAACTGAGTGCTGAAGAGATAGTGCAGCAGTTTAGATGCTTGCAAGCAGACAACTTTGGTTTGATCCTGAGCACTGGCACCAAATACGATCACCAGTAGTAAGCCCTGAGGAGAGCTGAATATGGTCCAAACCCTCCCCCCCCAAAAAAAATACACAGTTGAGTAAACTCATGAGAACAAACTTATGTCAGCTTAACCAATAAATATCTGATCTACAAATCAGAATTTCAACTTATTAGTTAATCATAGAGGAAATTTGTTCCCCGGATCAGAAATGCTGCATCTGAAACCATGATTCTTTCAATACTAAGCTACCTGGATGTCTGAATTAACAATTTACCAGAAACTAGAACAAGAAGATGATGGGATATACCTAATAAATTAGCCACAGTCAGCAACTTTCTGGTGATCAAAATTGTGGTTTTCCCTTGTAGAATCTATCTTTCCTTTGGTTATTGTTGCCCCAACACTGCAGACTTCTTAATCTCTAAGTTTTCTTCTATCACATCCTTTTCTCCATTAAGCATTTCCCTTGATTGGATATAGTACAACCCGAGGATGCTCCTTGCACGCATGATTTTTCGTATAAGATGAAAGATCCCCAGGTAAAATGACTTAAGGAACTTGCTCAAGATCACTGCTAATGTAAGGCATAACAGATTCAAGCAAAATCTGAAGCCAAAGCCTGCACTTTAACCGTGCAGTAAAACGTACCTTCAAGGTGTCCCTCCTCTGTTCCCATAACAGCCTATAGAACATCATGACAGGCATTTCTGGTCTATAGATTTCTCCCTCTTCCTCTGCAGTAAGAAGACAGGAATCATGTTTCATTAACCTTTGTATCCCTAGTGTGTGACTTCTCTCTTGAGGTAAATATGCACGCGAATGTGTCCCAGTTGTTAAATATAAAGATCACCAAAATGAAGGCCTTGAACTAGCCATACAGCCTTAGGAAAGTCATCATATCTCCGGTCATAAACAGCTCATCCACAAAATGGGGATGAAAGAGATATACACGGCACCTTAGGAAACTTCTGCAACTAAAAGACCTTAAGATTACAGCTTCCGGAGCTCTTATGCCTTACCTTATTAATTTATTAGAAATGAAATTAAATGTCAGTATTTTCATTTATTTGACCTCTATATTTTATACCACTCTACCATACCAAACATATAACTAATAGTTCATAGAAAACTTACTCTTATAAAAGGAGATAACTATCATATACATAATATACATAATATTATATATATATTTATATCAAATCCATAGCACCCACTTCTGGTGAACGAAAAGGTTCTGAACAACAAAAAAGACAATTTAAAAGTGGGATTTATTTTTACTTAAAAAAAAGAAAATTGGGGCTGCGGTGATAGCACAGTGGGTAGGGCATTTGCCTTGCACGCGGCTGACCCGGGTTCAATTCCCAGCATTCCATATGGTCCCCTGAGCACCGCCAGGGGAAATTCCTGAGTGCAGAGCCAGGAGTGACCCCTGTGCATCACCAGGTGTGACCCAAAAAGCAAAAAACAAAAAACAAATTAAAAAAAAAGAAAATTGCCTAATATTATTATTATCACTTAACAAAACTAAAAACTTCTATTTTAATAGTACCTTGTTTTCCCCCGAAACAAAGTCAAAATGAACTAGTTATATAGAGTTTATTGTTAGAACAATTATTCTGTGTTTAAGAGTACTGATAATACTAATTACCTTTATAAACAGCAGACTTTTCATTGTAGAGCATAATGAAAGTCATTTTATAGTTTTACTAACAATGCTCATTTTTAGGGAGGATCAAATGCAGTACCAGGGATGAAATCAGGTCTGAAACCTGTAAGGCAAGCATTTAACCTCCCGTATTATCTCTTCAGCCACAGTTATTTTAAATTTTAATGAAAACTCCTATATTTTCAAATAAGATTGTTTACCATACTCCTTTTGGACAGCACATTTTCCAGAAGATAGTACTGCAAACTTTTCAACCTGAAATCTGCTTAGGCCTACACTTCCAGGTTTTACATCAAATTAAAAAAAAAAATTAAACTCCCCTTACCTTATGTGTACTGGGTCAAAGCATGTCAATATCACATACCCATACAAATACAACTCAAAGTTTGACAGTATCAATACTACAACCAAACCTTTCAATTAAAGTTGAAACTGCTTTCTAGGACCAGAAGTAGATTATGGTCTATCGATGATTATAATGTAAGAATATATGCTAACCATAAGCTTTATTCATGAAAATAGAGACAATTTGACTGAAGCCAAGAAAGCAAACCAATCATTGCTCTAGCAACCTTGTCATTCAGGCATGTTTTTACCAAAGCACATCACATCTCTTCCCTTAATTAATTTTGCATCCTTCACCTGCCCTATGACCAAAGGAAAAATGAACAGCAAGGCTCACAACACACTACAAAGGCTAAGAAACCCCTATTTTGAGATAGAGAACACAGAATGGGCTGGGGTAAACAGAAAATGGCAAACTTTGATTTCAGTTCTACCAAAGAAAATTTCCAACCAGGTGTTTTTTTTTTCCCCCTGACCAAGTCATTTCCATGGGCAGGGAAATTCACTAATCTTAAATAGATTAGGGACATGGATAGATGTAGTGTCTGTGTTAGGGAGAGACCAGGTAAAATAACCAATGAAAAACTTTCTTAATGTTCACCCAAAACAAGGTCAAACATCCCATACCCAGGGCCTAATGCTGTCAGGGGTGGCCATCTGAGCATCTGGACCCTGCTCCGGAAGCCCCCCTTCACATCCCACCCTTCTCCAGCAATAAAATGAAGATCACGAGATCTCTTGCAGAGCACCCACAGACCAGCAGAGTCTAAGAAGAGTTATGGGGGGAAAGTTGGAGGCTGGGCTGGGGGGAAGGAAAAGGCGATGGATGCTGGGCGGGGGGAGAATGTGCAGCAACAAAACGACTATACACGGAGAAAGAGGAGGGCTGGAACGGAGCGTCTGTATTCATTTTATACCAGTCCATGCCCAAGGAACAGAGCCTGCCCCTGCCCGGACCTCCAGGAGTCCAGATGCACAGCTTGGGCGCAGCACAATCGCTGTAGAGCAAGTGGCGTCCAACCTCATCTTTTGCTCCTGACGACCCCTAGATAAACCCTAACGTCTGTGCCCCACACTCGCTAGGGCGCTGGGCAGAGATGGAGGCACCTCCACACTGCACCACTACCTCTGCAAAGGCCAGAGGCAGCATCACCTGGCGTGCCAAGATCCAGCTAAAAGCACGAGGCCCGCCCGCCCGGGAAGAGCTCCTGGAAGCAAGCTGGCCTTGAAGCGTTCCCAAACTTACAGGACCAGAGAAGGAAAAAAACCGGAGCTGCTTTCTGGGTTCTTCCACAGGGTGAAGACAGAGCAAAGGAATCACAACTTCCTTCACCCTCACTGATCTCGCAGATTTAGTCTCTTTTCCCCCAACCAAGCATCAAAGACCATTTCTGCCTTCCTGGTGCCTAGTTCGGCCCCACAGCCTGGAGCAGGGCGTCTGAGCCGCTCCGCAGTCCCGGTACCCGCCCGACCACCCCAAAGTTCACTGGCAGGGGGTGGAGGGGCGGTACAAACCGTGCACTCTACCCACAAAACCATCACAGGCATTCTGGACTCGCGAAACCTCATCTCAAGCCCAGGATCAGGCTTGAGATGACCCTTCCTTCGCCAAATGAACCTTCCCTCCCAAGAGGTCTGGATCCAGTCGGTTCCGTCGGGGCCGCATTTAGTCCCAGGGGCTCGAGTCCAGCCAGTCCCGGTGCTTCCACACGCCCCTTACGCCCTTCTCCTTAGCCCGCAGCACACAGTGCCCAGGTGCTGCTATTTACTTTGTCTGCTTCTGTCTCTTTCTTGTCACTCTCTGTCTCGCTGTCTCTGTCTCTCTCTCGCATCCACACACGCACACCCACGCACCGCAAAATCCTACCTCGCCCCCGTGCCCGTCGAAGATGCCAAAGATGGATGGGTGCGTCTTGTTGACGAGGTCGGTGAGAACTTCGAAGCGGTCCTCCATGTGGTCCCTCCGGCCCTGGATGGAGTACACCGCCACGTTGTGGCTCTTGAACTCCCAGGTCTTGGAGAACTCGGCCTCCAGCACGTCGAGCCCCCCCAGCCGATCATTCTGCATGATCTCGGCCACCTTGCCCTTCACCATCTTCACCGCGTCCCGGCTGGACTTGACGATGGTCTTCACCTCGTCCGTGTGAAAGAAGTAACTCCACAGCGCCAAGCTGATGCACAGCAGGAAGAGCGTCTCGGGTCTCAGCAAGAAGTAGCGCATGATGCGACCCAGCAGAGACAGCAAAGTCATTGTATCCTCTATCATTTATTATCGCGGGAGACTCAACCAGCAGCAGCGAGGCGCGCCCCGAAGGCTCGCCGGATCCCGGAGCACTGCGGGGACAGCCCGCCGGGCGGGAGGCGGAGCAGCGCCGGGCAGCCGAGGGGGCAGCGCGCGGAGCCGGCCGGGGGGCCAGCGGCGGCGGCGGGTCCGCTCGGGGCTCGGGGCGCGGAGGCAGCTTTTCCCTTTTGTCTGCCCGCCCGCTGGAAGGCCCGCGCCCCGCGCGCTGGCGCCGGTGCCCGCCGCCTCTGTCGCCTCTTTCCCCGGCGTCCCTTTGTAAGGCGACTGGGGAGGCGGCGGCGGCGGCAGCAGCAGCCGCCGCGGGTGCCCGGGCTGCGCGAGAACAATCAAGTTGAAGTTGCGTCCAGGCGGCGGTGGCGCGGCGGCGGGGAGAGTTCCCGGGCGCTGGCACCCGCGCGGCCCGGGCCCTTCGGCCGCTCGGGGGAGCGAGGGGCAGGTAAGGAGACGCGCGCGAGAGCCCGGCCGCTCGCTCCGCCCGTCCCCGGGAGTCGCCGCTGCAGGGGCTTCCCGGAGCCGACCGACCGCTCCGATCCTCGCATACACCCTCCCCGGGCAGGAGGGGCAGAAAATAAAAAGTTTTCCCGGCGCGGGGGCAGAGGCGGCGGTCCCCGGAGCTCGGCGACGTCGCTCGGAGGGCGCTGAGCCGCAGGCGGCCGGCCCGGCTCTGCCCGCCTCGGTCTCCCCGCACCTCCGGGCTCGTGGCCGCGTCGCCTCGGCGCGCCCCGCTCGCCCCGCCCTGCGCGCTCGGCCCCGCCCCCGCCGCGCCGCCCAGCCAGCCGGGACCGGGACCCGGAGGTGCTCCGACCCCGCTGTCACCCGCGGAGGAAGCGCCGCAGCGGCTGGCGCGCTCGGGCGGCCGCGGCGGCCGGGGCCAAGTGCGGGGGAGACGGGGGGCGTGTCGGCTGCGGGCGGCCGTTCCGCGGCGCTTCCCGGCTCCCGCGCGCTCCCCGCGGGGTCCCACGGGCCCGGCCGAGCGTCCGAGCGCCGGTGGCCCCGGAGCCGCGGCCGCGGGCTGCCGGCGGGGACCCGCACGTGCGCGCCCGTCCCCCTCCTGCGGCAGCCGCGGTAGTGCGGTCCCCGCCGCGCCGACAGAAGGCGAGCGAGAGGGGACGCACTTCCCCCGGCTCACCGGCGGCAGCGGGAGCCCGCCAGCGCTTCTCCGCCTGGTGCCGGAGGCCGCGCGCGACCTCCCGGAGGGCAGAAAGCAAGCCTGGGGCCTAGCAGCCTTCCTCCCGGCGAGGGCACGGTCGCCCGCGCCCCTCCCCGGGAACTGCAGCACGTGAAGGACCGCCACTCCCCGGCCCCCTCGCCGCCCCCTCCAGCCACACCGGGCCCGCGCGCGCAGACGTCGCCCGCCGGAGCGGGAGGAGGAGGTGACTTTGTCTCCGAGCTGCCGCCGCCTCTCCGGCACCCCGGGAGGCCTTCCCGGGTGTCTGCCACCCGCCGCCTCCGAGTGACTCCCCGCGCTCTTGTCCCTACCGCGGGACAAAGGGCTCGGGCTCGACCATGCTAGTCGAAAGGTCCCTTTGGCGCTTCCAGCCCGCAGCCTTCCCGCGTGGCAGGGGGAGTGGAAGCCTGGAAGAGCAGAAATCGGACTGTCCGGAAGCATCGCGGTGAACTTGTTGAAATACGGAAAGGTGGCCTTGCCCTTGAAGATGCGGGGAAAGAAAGGAGCGACGTGCAAATCAGTTTAGAATTGGGAGTCTAGGGAGAAGAGGATTCGCTCTCGCTACCTCTGTCCAGGAAGGAGAGTGCTGATCTCAGCTGCCGCCAGGCGCTGCCTGACCCCAGCCTCGCCCAGGACGGTCTTCCCAAGCACCTGGGCCTTACAAAGAGCCCAGCTGCGTTGTCTGTTTGTTTTAATGAATGTAAAATGCTAGAAAACACCAAAATGTTCCCTAGGTTATATGTACTTTTCATTTTCTGTTTTGGACATTTGTTTCCTTTGCTTTTTCAAAGATTATACTAACGGCATAGATTGTCATCATATCCCGAAAAAAACTAAAATGTTGGCATTTAAATGGCTTGCGTACAATAGATATTTCGATAACAAACGTGCGTAGAAAAGACAGGAAGGAGGGATATATGAAGAACTGTTAACAGTAAAAGTGTTTATGCTTTGAACAATGGGGATATGGCCTTTACACTTTTTAGCTGTGTCCAGGCATAACTTTTTAAAAAATAAGTTTAAAAATAAGATGATTCTGGCCAAAAGTGATGAGGGATGAGTTTCCAAAATGAGATAATGCATTCACAAACCTTTGGGGAGTATAAAGCAGAAGTAATGCAGTAGTACTCTTAGGAAATTTTCTTACTAAAAATCAGGAAATGGATTTTGGGTGAATTCTCAATTACTGTACACAAAACTTTTTCTGTAACAAACATTAGATATATAATATAGATAAGTTTATTGATTTTCATAATTACAAGGCAAGGAGGCCTTGGGGGTAAAAGTAACAAAGTGGAAGATTTGTCCAGCATGTTCACAATATTACTATATTGGTGGTAACACCTTGGATATTCATAAGAAGTTTGAATTCTATTTGCTCCATATTTCCAGAAAGAAGGGATCAAAGGGGTCATACTGTCCCTCTGGAGGTTAATAGCAAAAGGAGCAGTTCCCTAGTAGGCACCTAAGGACCTAAGGCCCTCAGACCGGTCAAATTTTTTTTTTTAATTCATAAATATTCTTCAGATTCTGTGGTGCTACATTTTAACATATATCCAAGTATATTTGTGTGAAAATCAATAAGACAATTTTAAACAAATCCTAGACATTTTATTATTTCTTTTAAGGCATTCTAGTGGCAAATAACAGTCATGGTCATCGTCCTCCCGTTGTTCATTGATTTGCTCGAGCGGGCCCAGTAACGTCTCCATTGGAGACTTTGTTGTTACTGTGTCTGGCATATCGAATACGTCACGGGGAGCTTGCCAGGCTCTGCCGTGCGGGCGAGATACTCTCAGTAGCTTGCCGGGCTCTCCGAGAGGGGCGGAGGAATCAAACTCGGGTCGGCCATATTGGCTGCGTTCAAGGCAAACGCCCTACCGCTGTGCTATCGCTCCAGCCCAGTGGCAAAGCAATATGTGTATATTCCTTGACATAAACATTCTCAATTTAACAATTTATTTCAATTCTCATACTAGTACTATAAAGAAAGTAGAAGAACTATTACTATTACTTCTTTTTATTTATTTTTTTTTATGTAGGAGAACTGCTATTTATTCAGCCACTGATTAGGCTGATTGAATTGGGCATGAACTCCACCTTACTTTTTTTTATCTTTCATAATTTTATTTATTGAATCACCGTGAGAACAGTCACAAAGTTTTTGGGTTTAAGTCTCGGTCATACAATGAAACACCCATACCTTCACCAGTGCCCATTCTCCACCACCAAAAACCCTAGTCTACTCCCATCTCACACCTTCCCCCTACCTATGAGACAGATGATTTCCACATTACTCTCTCTCTCTACTTTGATTACATTCAATATTTTGACACCAGACCCACCATTATTATTTGGGATTTTACCCCAACACTCAGATCTGCCGAAAAGGCAACAGCAGACAGTTTTTTTTTTCTATTGCTGGTTATGAATAAAATATGATGTCGCATGGCTGCAGTAGTGGCCACGTGATTTTGAAATTCTGAAATTTGAACAATTAAATCTGGAGGGATTTCTGCCCAAACCTGCTGGGTTCTGAGATTTGTTCCTGAGTCTCTGGGACCATGGCCATTAAGCAGCTTGATCAGGAGCCAGAGAGGCCGTTCATGGGTGGCAACTTGGGGTCTAGTTGTGACGGGGAGGAAAGGGCCGGCTCCACCCCCATCCCATGAGGCCCCATGTGTCTCGTCATTGCGGGCCCAAACCTGACTGTCCAGTGGGCTCTGGAGGATGGTGTGCACCGGGCCACTGGGGGGGAAAGGCCAAGGCATGAAAATTTTTTCCACCTGGGTTGGCCCAGCGCTGGTAACCTACTGCAGGGACCGGATGCATTTCTGCCAAAAACCACTGGGTTCCGAGATTTGTTTCTGAGTCTCTGGGATCATGGCCATTAAGCGTCTTGATCAGGAGCCAGATAGGCCATTTGTGGGTGGTGACTCGGGATCTCGCTGGGACGGGAAGGAAAGGGCCGGCTCCACCCCCATCCCATGAGACCCCGCGTGTCTCATCACTGCGGGCCCAAATCTGACTGTCCAATGGACTCTGGCGGTTGATGGCCACTGAGCCGCCAAGGGGGAGCAGGTGATGGACAGCACCCTTTCCCCCCTGGGGTGCCCCAGCGACAGTAAACTACTGCGGGATCCAAACACATTTCTGCCAAAAGCCATTGGGTTTCGAGATTTGTTTCTGAGTCTCTGGGATCATGGTCGTTAAGCTGCTTGATCACGAGCCAGAGAGGCCATTTGTGAGCAGTGACTCAGGGTCTCCTTGGGACAGGGAGGAAAGTATTACCTCTTTTTAAACAAGGGACGTTCAATGAATATTACACTCTTGCACTGAACATTCAAACTGGGTGATTACTTCTTCTAAATATCAAGTCAGTATTCTAACATCCACCAGTTTCCCAGTAATAAAAATAGTGAGTCTAATTGTTCTACTTCTATAGAAACATTTTAGGAGATACGCTATGAAATATTAAAAAGAATATACAGACTATTAGCATAGTTCTGACTTCAGCCTTTAAGGAAAGCATTACCTTAGAACCCCACCTATTCACTACATTTGTGGGCCGGAAGAGAGTGCAAATAAACTGTTATTTGGCTCTACATAAAAATCTCGAAACAGTAGCTGTAGTAAAATGCTATCTAAATTTCACAGGGAAGAAATAAGTACTGTACAATATACTTAGGGCAAATACATTACTATTATAAATGACATACTTGTATGAAGCAGCTCCTTAATTTTAAGCTTCATGAGATATGATAATAGTAATAAAAATTACTAGGTAATTACCATTTACAACTGTGCAATTAACTCATGAAGATTGCACGTATACTAAGTATGTAAAATACAGTTTTTAGAAATAATGCACTCAGAAAAAAAAGATAATTTTTTGTTGGTTTGGTTTTGTTTGGGGGACCAGACCAGTAGTTTTCAAAGGTTTCTCCTGGCTGGGTGCTTAGTGTGAAGGTTTCTGTGAATGTTGTGGTATATGGTTTTCCTTAAATTCTATTATTTTGATTTGTATATTCAAAATATGCAAAATATACTCTTCCCAATCTCAACATCTCATTCTTTTTTTTTTTTTTTTTTTTTTTTGCTTTTTGGGTCACACCCGGCGATGCTCAGGGGTTACTCCTGGCTCATGCACTCAGGAATTACTCCTGGCGGTGCTCAGGGAACTATATGGGATGCTGGGAATCGAACCAGGGTCGGCCACGTTGGCTGCGTGCAAGGCAAACGCCCTACCCGCTGTTCTATCGCTCCAGCCCACAACATCTCATTCTTAAACCAGATTGTTCTGGTATCTTCTCTTATATCCCAAGAATAAATTTGGGTTTCCTTCAGTTTTCCTATATTCCCCAAATGGTTTTTATAGAAAACATTTTTTCACAGTGGTTGAAAGACTAAATTTGGTAGTCTGATTAATTTAATTGCAGGATCATTTATGAAACCTGTTTTTATCTTCTTGCTGGTAAGTTTGATGTACTTGCATAGAAATCTTCAGTCACATATGGATTGATTCTTACATATGCTTCCAGTAAATGTTATGAGAAAATGATTGTATAA